GTAATAAATTCAAGAATTTTTCATAACGTCGATTAGTTGAAGGTTGAACCTTAAAACAACTGAGTAGTTTTCGAATTTTTTCTTTTTTTATTATAGAATTGATCAATCATTTATTTAGATTTGGTTGAATACGTCGAAGCTCGACAAATTAAGTTTTAAAATTTTAAAGATGATATGGAAATGTGAGTAAATTTACCACTGAGTAGTATGTAGAGTTATTATGTATCTGAAGTTACGCTGCCACTAGGTGTAAATCTGAGAACTGGAAGCTTTGTGGCCATAACTTACGAAAGTTACCAGTCAAGTAACCAGACTTGATATACGGTGGACGGTCTGCTATGAACGTCCTTCTCCGTTACCGAAAAGTTGCATTTGACTCGCTCTGTGGCATTTTATCTTGATAATGATGATGCAAATACTCATTTTTTTTTCATTATTATTATTATTATAGAATTGAATTGAAACTTGTAGGGAATATATGGAACCATAAAAAAAAGATTTTAAAATTACGACTCTCTCTCTCCTCTCATCAATTCCATTAACCCGACTTCCACTAACACCATTAATTTGACATTATCACCATCACCACTTTTACTTTTAAATCCTTAAAACAAAAAAAAATGTAAAGCGAAGTATAATAAAAAAAATAAATCCTAAGTAGATAGATTAAGTATATAGTAATTTATTAGACTACTTGATCAATGTGCCATTTGGCAACGAAATAGTAACCGATGCATGTCCATTATTAGACTAATTGATCAATGGATCATTTGACCACGAAAGTCTATTTATTAAAGAATGCAATGTAAAAGGCAAAGTAAAACGTGGTAGTAGTGCTGCCCTGCTAGCAACAGAGTTGCCAAAAACACATAATATCAGGAGAAATAATCACCGATAACAAAAGGCGGCATGTTTATTACATATTATATATGTATAATATTGTTGATACTAACGTTCTTCAATTAATTATTTAGTGAGAGACAAAAAAACAGAATTTTTTATTTATATATTAATATTTCTCAATGGTTAAATAAAACAAATAAAAAACATATTATAACAAAAGAAAGCTGAAAATCGGAGGTCTCTATTAATATAAATTATATGAAAAATTTTTTTGATTGCTTGCAATAAAATTAATTTTTGCTTCATTAAAAATCCAATTACAAAAATCTGTGAACCTATTTTTCACTAATTTACCAAAAATCATTCCAATTTTCAAAATTTTTTAGAATTCATTACTTTATGTCTCATTTAACAAAACCACCAAAAATTTTGACGCTTCAATACATAAACATTGTTGAATAATCACCATGTAACTAACAGAACGTTTTTAAGTTGAAATTTTTGTTGGTAAATTTCAAACTTAAAATTATAGACTTTCAAAGATCCTATTTAAATCAAATCAGTTTCTTAATATTTGTAATAAATTCAGGAATGATCCTTGTATAGAACATAGTGACAATTTTATGCTAGATAGAACAAAAAAAAATCCTTTTTCTGAAATCGTACCAAAAAATTCCGGTTTTTTTTGGTGCAATTTAGAAAAATGATGTTTTTTGTTTTTTCTAGCAGCCAATTGCCACTACATTCTATATAGAGA